GGCGACTTTGCTTTCGGTGTGGACATATTGGGGCATCTGAACGATCTAAATGTGAAACTGCAGGGAAATTGTGTTTTTGTGCATGAACTGTATTCCAACGTGAAAGCATTCAAGGCCAAACTTAAGTTGTTCTCCAGACAAATGAGCAGCCGGTCTCTCGCTCATTTTCCGACACTCGACGCACTGAACGCACCCACATCGCAGTGCCACACTGAGACATACAGTAGCACTTTGATCCACCTGCATGCTGAGTTTTCCCACCGCATCTCAGGCTTCACCAAGATTGAGACTGAGCTGGAGCTTGTATCATGCCCCCTGTCTTTCGACAGTGAGAAAGCACCACCAGACACACAATTGGAGCTCATCAACATCCAATGTGACAATGCTTTGAAGGAGAGGTACAAAACAGCAACAATAGACCAGTTCTATGGCTCACTGAATGAAACAAAGTTTCCAGACATTAAAAAGCACGCCCAAAGGATGCTTGTTTTATTCGGGTCCACATATGTGTGTGAACAAACGTTCTCAGTAATGAATTACACCAAATCCCGTCACAGGTCAAATTTAACAAATGACAACTTGTCAGCTGTTCTGAGAATCTCTACATCAAAGATGACACCAGACTTTGATGCCCTTGCCAAGAGAGGTGACCAGACTGATTGTTCACATTAAGACTTGAATAACCGTGACTGGGGTAGGCAAGGATTATGCTTTTTCATGGTGATGGTTATGCAGTGAGAATTATCCAGCAATGCACTTGGTTACAGGTAATAACTAGTCAGTCAGATTTGGGCTGAGGTGATTGGATAACTGTAAATATGGCTCACAATGGAGATGAGAATTGTTCCTTAATATGCTTTCAGAAACAGACCATTCCAAATGAAACTGATGCTCTTTACATATGTTTCACTCAAATGTTAGAATAGTTTTTTTTTTTTTTACACATCTGCTGTTACATTTAGCATGTCTCCAGTCATATAATACAGTTGAAGTCAGAAGTTTACATACTCTTAGGTTGGAGTCAATAAAACTCGTTTTTCAACCACTCCACAAATTTCTTGTTAACAAACTATAGTTTTGGCAAGTCGGTTAGGACATCTACTTTGTGCATGACACAAGTAATTTTTCCAACAATTGTTTACAGACAGATTATTTCACTTATAATTCACTGTATCACAATTCCAGTGGGTCAGAAGTTTACATACACTAAGTTGACTGTGCCTTTAAACAGCTTGGAAAATTCCAGAAAATGATGTCATGGCTTTAGAAGCTTCTGATAGGCTAATTGACATAATTTGAGTCAATTGGAGGTGTACCTGTGGATGTATTTCAAGGCCTACCTTCAAACTCAGTGCCTCTTTGCTTGACATCATGGGAAAATCAAAAGAAATCAGCCAAGACCTCAGAAAAAATATTGTAGACCTCCACAAGTCTGGTTCATCCTTGAGGGGTAATTTCCAAACGCCTGAAGGTACCACGTTCATCTGTACAAACAATAGTACGCAAGTATAAACACCATGGGACCACGCAGCCATCATACCGCTCAGGAAGGAGACGCGTTCTGTCTCCTAGAAATGAACGTACTTTGGTGCAAAAATCAATCCGAGAACAACAGCAAAGGACCTTGTGAAGATGCTGGAGGAAACAGGTACAAAAGTATCTATATCCACAGTAAAACGAGTCCTATATCGAAATAACCTGAAAGGCCGCTCAGCAAGGAAGAAGCCACTGCTCCAAAACCGCCATAAAATAGACTGACTACAGTTTGCAACTGCACATGGGGACAAAGATCGTACTTTTTGGAGAAATGTCCTCTGGTCTGATGAAACAAAAATAGAACTGTTTGGCCATAATGACCATTGTTATGTTTGGAGGAAAAAGGGGGTTCCTTGCAAGCCGAAGAACACCATCTCAACCGTGAAGAACAGTGGTGGCAGCATCATGCTGTGGGGGTGCTTTGCTGCAGGAGGGACTGGTGTACTTCACAAAATAGATGGCATCATGAGGAAGGAAAATTATGTGGATATATTGAAGCAACATCTCAAGACATCAGTCAGGAAGTTAAAGCTTGGTCGCAAATGGGTCTTCCAAATGGACAATGACCCCAAGCATACTTCCAAAGTTGTGGCAAAATGGCTTAAGGACAACAAAGTCAAGGTATTGGAGTGGCCATCACAAAGCCCTGACCTCAATCCTATAGATAATGTGTGGGCAGAACTGAAAAAGCGTGTGCGAGCAAGGAGGCCTACAAACCTGACTCAGTTACACCAGCTCTGTCAGGAGGAATGGGCCAAAATTCACCCAACTTATTGTGGGAAGCTTGTGGAAGGCTACCCAAAACTTTTGACCCAAGTTAAACAATTTAAAGGCAATGCTACCAAATACTAATTAAGTGTATGTAAACTTCTGACCCACTGGGAGAGTGATGAAAGAAATAAAAGCTGAAATAAATCATTCTCTCTACAATTATTCTGACATTTCACATTCTTAAAATAAAGTGGTGATCCTAACTGACCTAAAACAGGGAATTTTTACTAGGATTAAATGCCAGGAATTGTGAAAAACTGAGTTTAAATGTATTTGGCTAAGGTGTATGTAAACCTCAGACTTCAACTGTATATATCTATTTTTACGTTAGCAAATTGTGACTGTAAGTTGTACTTTACAAGGGTAGAGATGCAGGATCTGTGTGTGTGTTTGACTGTGTCTGTGATATAAATTATGTCAATTTTGCAAAAAATGTGTGATGGTACAAGGATATAATTGTTCTGCAAGCATATGTACACCTACAGTACACTAGTAGTTGCTTGTCAATGTGAAAATGAATAAAGGCTTCACATGTTTTGTCACACATATAGTATGTGGCCCTTCACTTGGTTTCAAAAACTCAATGTGGCCCTTGAGCCAAAAGGTTTGCCCACCCCCCTGCCCTAGAGCCTGAGAAGGGAGTTATGGAGAATTGAAAGAAGGAAGAAGTGGGAGTTTTGTTTTGTCAATGTACTATTTTTATTTGGGTAGATTAAGTTAGTTTCCCTATTACGTATGGATTTTCTTTTTACCTTGTTTTGGTTTCAACCCGTCCAGTTGGTGGCGGCAATACACCTTTTTGGGTTGTAGTCCGCCATAAAACCCACAGAAGAAGAAGAAGAAGAAGAAGAGATCAGAAATGTTCCTTGCTAGAGAAGCAGGTTGAGGTTTCCAGGGTAAGAGTAGTGAAGAATGTAGAGGAAGAGGGGTCAAGGGGGGGGGGGGGAGTGGTGAGAGTAGTAGAGATTTGTACCAGTACAGAGGGATAGGACAACAAGTGATGTTTCAGTAATATTGGATTTTTAGCGTTTATAGCGATGGGTATTAATTGTACTGCAGGGATGGAACGTAAGTCAAAGAAAATTGAGGTTGTGGTGGCAGCTGCAGAGAGGTATTTGGGTGTGCGAGACAAGACATCAGAAGAGTTACAGGGAGTGTTAAGTGGTGATGTCCCATCATTTCAGGTTGAGGGCATGAACTTCAATTTCAATTTCAGGTAGGAATGAATATATTTAAGTAGTGGAGAAGGGTGGTGTTAATTATTTATAATCATTTTGAATTCGTGAGTGTAGTGTTAGATGGTAGGGTATTTCTCCTGAGTGGCGCAGTGGTCTAAGGCGCCGCATCGCAGTGCTAACTGTGCCACTAGAGATCCTGGTTCGAATCCAGGCTCTGTCGCAGCCGGCCGCGACCGGGAGACTCATGGGCGGCGCACAATTGGCCCAGCGTCGTCCAGGGTAGGGGAGGGAATGGCCGGCAGGGATGTAGCTCAGTTGATAGAGCATGGCGTTTGCAACGCCAGGGTTGTGGGTTCGATTCCCACTGGGGGCCAGTATAAAAAAATAATAATATATGTATTCACTAACTGTAAGTCGCTCTGGATAAGAGCGTCTGCTAAATGACGTAAATGTATTTTTTTTTATTTTTTCCCAAGTAAAATATAAGGGAGTTGTACTCCAGTCTAGTAGGTGGCAGTAATGCAACAAATTGGATGCCAACCGCCGTTAAACCTCATTGAAGTAGAAGAAGAAGAAGACTAGGCTAGGGCAAAATAATAACATTCAGCAGGTTCATTAGAGACCCTTACAATCACTAAAACTGAAAGTATGGATTCCACTCCGGTAAGTCTCAGCTAGCCAATTATAAAGAATAACAGTTATTACTTAGAACTAATAACAGTTCGTACAGTAGTAGCTAGCCAACATTAGCTAGCTGCCTAATACATCAGACTGTTACCATTGTCTTCCACTCTCGGATTCTAAAAGGGACGACTAGCTAACTGGCTAACGTTAGCTAGCTTCGTTAGCTCCCTAACGTTAGCACATCCTCCATTGTAAATTCCCGTAGCAGCAGTTAGCTTGCTAGCATGACGGTAAGCTAGCTAGTTATCTACAGCAGTGGTTCCCAAACTGTGGGGCGCGCCACCGGGGGGGATGGTGCAGAACAACAACATTTTTTTTTTTTTTTTAAGGAACTCAGTCCGGCTTTAAACTTACTCTTGAAAGTTGTAATAGTAGAATGCACAAGGTGCAATTTCGAAACTGGGTAGTGCGTCATCAGTACCTCTTGTCATGTTAGTCATTGCCTACCTTAGAGCTATTGTCCAGATCAGCTAACGTTTTTTTATTTAGGTGTTTTAGCCCGTAGATGTTGGGTCCCGAGTGAAAGAGTTTGGGAACCCCTGATCTACAGCAAGATACAAAGCCAAAGGGCCCTGTTTTAGGTTAGAGTGAGATAAAATAAAATACCCAGACTTGTATAATTTCCCTGAAGAAGGGGAGTTTAGACAGAGTGATCGACATCATCATGACACTTTGAAGTTTCTAATCTAGAGCTAACTAGCTAACGTTAGTGCTAACCAGAGCCATATGACTCTGGTGCTAACTACCAGTGCTGTGTAAACTTATCAAGTAAGAATCTAGCTAGCTAGCTATCTATTTGTTTTGCTAAATTGAAGAGCTCATAGCTGATTCATGGGCATTGTAAGTAAACAATACAGCTAGATACCAATTAAACTAGCTAGCTAACAAGTTGAAAATACATGTGAAACTGTTGAGCTTTATCAGACCTAGAAAACAAGCTTGTCTGACAGCACAGCATTTCCCCATAATATCTAACGTTAGGCTAGCTAGCTTCAATGAGCTGCTGTCTTTGGTCTAACTTGCACTTGTCATCAGAGCAAAGCAATCAGAGGCACTCCACTCATAAGTCACACTTCACTTCTTTGAGGCGTCAGTGACCCAGTAGTGTTGTTATCTACTGATTTGTCTTTGTAGGGCATCTTCTCCTGATTGATCTGCCCAAAGACACCAGGGGCACCCTTTGCAGGGCAAGAGTCGGTTTGTGTATAGGCTCACCTTTTCTTAGGACTGTTTCTCACACCCTATGGCATTGTTGTGTTGCAGACTATTGGGGAGTTGTTCCGTACCCTGTGTGAGATGGGCTTCAGTGAGGAGCAGATCCAGTCTGCCGTGCAGGCAGGACACTTCTCTGTGCCTGACGCTGCTGAATGGTGAGTCCTCCCAAACCATAACCCTGTTATAATGGACAGGCAAGGAACTATGTTTTCCAATGTCAAAACAGGATTGGTAACTGACAAGTGTTGCCAAGAACTGAACATGTCAAACATATTTTCTCAATATGTTTACGGCAGGCTCTTACAAGGTGAACATCTGAGGCACAAGCTGGTCAAAAATCCATCCCAGCCAGTTGGAACAGCATTTGCTGCATTCAACCCTCCCAAAGATGCAGGGAGCTCTTGCCCCCCAAGCACATCACAGTCACAGACATCGCCCACTGACAGTAGAGGTATGACACACCATTATAAGAGTCATTAGACATTTGTTTTCCAAGGTTGATTGCATACTGTAATCTAATGTCTTATTGTACACAATTGACCACTGCTCAGTCATTTGCCCCTTTTGTACAAAGCTGTCTTGTAAAGCATCTAGCAGCAGACAGGCTTTGCCTTGTTTCTAGCCTAATTCATCAGACTGTGATAGCAGGTATTACAGTCTGAGACAATGCTATACAAGCCAGAATGTTAAATATAACTTACTCTACCTGTTGGACCGGTTGGTCCTCTAGACTCTTGAAATTTGAGAAGAAATATCCACAGGAAAGTATTATTAAACAAACTTTTCAAAACGCTGGGACTGCCGTTGAGATTTCATCACCTGGTACATGCGCAAAACCATGTAGACGCCTGCAAGACTTCAGTTAGTATGCATGCATCGTGTGTGTATATACTAACTCTTGTGCGTGTGCCTCAGGTGATGAATAAACAAATCGTGAGAGCAGCACACAGAAACCTGTTTTGAAATCAGTTCAATAATACTTTCCTGTGGATATTTTGTCTGAACTTTCCAACGACAAGGACGGAATCAGCAGACAACAGTATGTTCAATGAAACATATTCAACATTCTGACTTGTAAAGGGACTGTTCAGAATTTTTGTACCTATATATTACAGATGAGAATGAATGCTTGTCCAGTCCACACTTGGAATTTGGGTGAGGCTGCCTTGTCTCCAGCTGCAGATACAAGGGAACTGTGTACAGGACAGGGCATTCTGCATAATTTGCTGTAAATTATCCAAGCTTTTTGTTTCCAAGCTAATCTCCCTCTTAGAATGCTTATTTGTTATATAGTGACACCATTTCAGTTCACCCCAGACACATTTCTGGCTTATAATTGTAGCCTTAAAAATGTATTACTGTACTGAAGCTTGAGGCTAAACACCACCCTACTCCGGACATAGCATAGCAGCTGGGTATTTTACCCTTTATTTCAGCACAGTTACCTTTCTGTTTTTATTTTATTTAATTTTTTTTACATGTATTTTGTATGTTTATTGGATAGATAGAGGTTAAAGGGGAGAGTGCTGAAAGAGAATTGAGATGGATTTGAACCCATCCTGGCAGCGGTACACCATACAGTACAGCTCCAGAGACAGGGGTTTATACTGCTAGACCACCCCAGGCCACTCTGTTTCTAATGTTGTGTGCCTGAAGGCCCCTCTTTAGTCCTGGGACGCCCACAGCCCTCCAGTCCATCCACAGACCCCCGGCCGCTGGAGTCCCGTATCAGGCAGGACAAGAGTGACTTTCAGGAGCAGCAGAGGATGCGTGTGGCCAACGAGGCCAGGAATGAGAGAAGGCAGAAGAAACAGGTCAGCAGCACCTGCCTGATCGATCAGCTGAAACACACTGAGCACACACGCAGACACACACACACATACACACGCAGACACACACACACATACACACGCAGACACACACACACATACACACGCAGACACACACACATACACACGCAGACACACACACACATACACACGCAGACACACACATATACACACTCAGACACACACACATATACACACTCAGCATAGCCACAGGGTTGTGCTTGCTAGTGTAACATACTTCAGTGCACACAATTGATACGAAATATTGGTTTATTCAAATCATTGAGACTGTATCTTCAGCCTTTTTGCAAACAAGTCACACTCAGACAAAGCATGATCCCTGACATATGTGTTGTTCCCTCAGGAGCGTGAGCTGGTGCTGAAGCGTATTGCAGAGGACCGGAGAAGCTTGCAGGAGAAGAAGACCCAGCCGAGCGCCCCCACTGAGACCATGTCCCCTCCAGACAGCAGCAAAGGCCAGAGGCTGGGGGGTACGGTCCAGACCAGTGTGGAACACAACTGCATCCTCATGGTGAGGCTGAACCCTCCTCCTCTGGCAATGTTTACATATACCTAGCAGCATACAGAGAGGGGAAAAAGTACACTGCTCAAGAAAATAAAGGGAACACTTAAACACCACATCCTAGATCTGAATGAATGAAATAATCTTATTAAATACTTTTTTCTTTACATAGTTGAATGTGCTGACAACAAAATCACACAAAAATTATCAATGGAAATCAAATTTATCAACCCATGGAGGTCTGGATTTGGAGTCACCCTCAAAATTAAAGTGGAAAACCACACTACAGGCTGATCCAGCTTTGATGGAATGTCCTTAAAACAAGTCAAAATGAGGCTCAGTAGTGTGTGTGGCCTCCACGTGCCTGTATGACCTCCCTACAACGCCTGGGCATGCTCCTGATGAGGTGGCGGATGGTCTCCTGAGGGATCTCCTCCCAGACCTGGACTAAAGCATCCGCCAACTCCTGGACAGTCTGTGGTGCAACGTGGCGTTGGTGGATGGAGCGAGACATGATGTCCCAGATGTGCTCAATTGGATTCAGGTCTGGGGAACGGGCAGGCCAGTCCATAGCATCAATGCCTTCCTCTTGCAGGAACTGCTGACACTCCAGCCACATGAGGTCTAGCATTGTCTTTCATTAGGAGGAACCCAGGGCCAACCGCACCAGCATATGGTCACACAAGGGGTCTGAGGATCTCATCTCGGTACCTAATGGCAGTCAGGCTACCTCTGGCGAGCACATGGAGGGCTGTGCGGCCCCCCAAAGAAATGCCACCCCACACCATGACTGACCCACCGCCAAACCGGTCATGCTGGAGGATGTTGCAGGCAGCAGAACGTTCTCCACGGCGTCTCCAGACTCTGTCACATGTGCTCAGTGTGAACCTGTTTTCATCTGTGAAGAGCACAGGGCGCCAGTGGCGAATTTGCCAATCTTGGTGTTCTCTGGCAAATGCCAAACGTCCTGCACGGTGTTGGGCTGTAAGCACAACCCCCATCTGTGGACGTCGGGCCCTCATACCACCCTCATGGAGTCTGTTTCTGACCGTTTGAGCAGACACATGCACATTTGTGGCCTGCTGGAGGTCATTTTGCAGGGCTCTGGCCGTGCTCCTCCTGCTCCTCCTTGCACAAAGGCGGAGGTAGCGGTCCTGCTGCTGGGTTGTTGCCCTCCTACAGCCTCCTCCACGTCTCCTGATGTACTGGCCTGTCTCCTGGTAGCGCCTCCATGCTCTGGACACTACGCTGACAGAAACAGCAAACCTTCTTGCCACAGCTCGCATTGATGTGCCATCCTGGATTAGCTGCACTACCTGAGCCACTTGTGTGGGTTGTAGACTCCGTCTCATGCTACCACGAGTGAAAGCACCGCCAGCATTCAAAGTGACCAAAACATCAGCCAGGAAGCATAGGAACTGAGAAGTGGTCTGTGGTCACCACCTGCAGAACCATTCCTTTATTGGGGGTGTCTTGCTAATTGCCTATAATTTCCACCTGTTGTCTATTCCATTTGCACAACAGCATGTGAAATGTATTGTCAATCAGTGTTGCTTCCTAAGTGGACAGTTTGATTTCACAGAAGTGTGATTGACTTGGAGTTACATTGTGTTGTTTAAGTGTTCCCTTTATTTTTTTGAGCAGTGTATTTGTTCCCCTGCTGATTTTGTACGTTTGCCCACTGACAAAGAAATGATCAGTCTATAATTTTAATGGTAGGTTCATGTGAACAGTGAGAGACAGAATAACAACAACAAAAATCAGAAAAATGCATGTCAAAAATGTTATAAATTGATTTGCATTTTAATGAGGGAAATAAGTATTTGACCCCCTCTCAATCAGAAAGATTACTCTTAAAGGGAGTGCTCCTAATCTCATCTTGTTACCTGTATAAAAGACTCCTGTACAGAAGCAATCAATCAATCAGATTCCAAACTCTCCACCATGGCCAAGACCAAAGAGCTCTCCAAGGATGTCAGGGACAAGATTGTAGACCTACACAAGGCTGAAATGGGCTACAAGACCATCGCCAAGCAGCTTGGTGAGAAAGTGACAACAGTTGGTGCGATTATTCGCAAATGGAAGAAACACAAAATAACTGTCAATCTCCCTCGGCCTGGGGCTCCATGCAAGATCTCACCTCGTGGAGTTGCAATGATCATGAGAACTGTGAGGAATCAGCCCAGAACTACACGGAGGATCTTGTCAATGATCTCAAGGCAGCTGGGACCATAGTCACCAAGAAAATTATTGATAACACACTACGCCATGAAGGACTGAAATCCTGCAGTGCCCGCAAGGTCCCCATGCTCAAGAAAGCACATATACATGCCCGTCTGAAGTTTGCCAATGAACATCTGAATGATTCAGAGGAGAACTGGGTGAAATTGTTGTGGTCAGATTAGACTAAAATTGAGCTCTTTGGCATCAACTCAACTCGCCGTGTTTGGAGGAGGAGGAATGCTGCCTATGACCTCAAGAACTCCATCCCCACCGTCAAACATGGAGGTGGAAACATTATGCTTTGGGGGAGTTTTTCTGCTAAGGGGACAGGACAACTTCACCGCGTCAAAGGGACAATGGACGGGGCCATGTACCGTCAAATCTTGGGTGAGAACCTCCTTCCCTCAGCCAGGGCATTGAAAATGGGTCGTGGATGGGTATTCCAACATGATTATGGCCCAAAACACACGGCCAAGGCAACAAAGGAGTGGCTCAAGAAGAAGCACATTAAGGTCCTGGAGTGGCCTAGCCAGTCTCCAGACCTTAATCCCATAGAAAATCTGTGGAGGGAGCTGACGGTTCGAGTTGCCAAACGTCAGCCTCGAAACCTTAATGACTTGGAGAAGATCCCTCCTGAGATGTGTGCAAACCTGGTGGCCAACTACAAGAAACGTCTGACCTCTGTGATTGCCAACAAGGGTTTTGCCACCAAGTACTAAGGCATGTTTTGCAGAGGGGTCAAATACTTATTTCCCTCATTAAAATGCAAATAAATTCATAACATTTTTGAGATGTGTTTTTTTCTGGATTTTTTGGTTATTCTGTCTCTCACTGTTCAAATAAACCTACCATTAAAATTATAGACTGATCATGTCTTTGTCAGTGGGCAAATGTACAAAATCAGCAGGGGATCAAATACTTTTTTCCTTCACTCTAGGTAGACTACTGTCTTAATAGTTGACTTGAGAGCATCCCTATTGGTTTATTGTAGAGGCGTGCATGAATTGTGTAGCCTAGTTTAGATGTAGATTGAGTTGGTATGTTATAATGGAGGTTTCACTCTCTCTCTCTCTCTCTCTCTCTCTGTGTCACTGTAGATCCGGCTGCCCTCTGGGGAATCCATGCGGGAGCGCTTCTCGGCCGATGCCCCTCTGCGCAGCGTGGTGGAGCACATCTCTGGGCGCCACCCCTCCCTGACTTCCTTCTCCCTCCTCCAGGGGTTCCCGCGGAAACGCTTTGGGGAGGCGGAGTTGGCCTGCTCCCTGCGCTCCCTGGGCCTCACACCCAATGCTGCCCTCTGCATCCAGACCACGCCCCCAGAGACACCCCAGGACCCGCCCAGCCCAGCTGCACGCCTCTTATTGGGTCAGGAGGAGGTGGTGGTTCCACCTCCTGCGCCTCCCCAGCCACAGCAGCCACAGATGCCAGTGCTGGAGGAGGGAGGGATGCAGGATCCCGCTCTGCCCCCACCTCTGCCTCACCAGTTGTGGGAAGAAGCAGTGGGCTACGCAGGCATCCCCGGTGTTGGTCCCCCAATGACTGGACCTTCTCACTCCTGGGGTAAGATTCACGTGTGGCGTATGGAGATCCCATTCAGAATGTAATTTATCCACGCACAGCCATCTTCAATATCCTAGTTGATGATTTGTCTGGTATCTTTCTACCTTCAGATTTTTTCCCCCTTGGAGTATAAATGGTTATTCTGTACCCTGTAACGCTGTATAATTACATTATGGACCCATTAGTTTGAGGCATCACTTTGTGACGACACTATAACACCATTACAGGCACTGAGTTTCTTTCAGGCATTCTCTGGGTCAGCTGAATGTTTTCCCATAGGTTCAGATCTAGGATCAGCTTCCTCTCCCCCAATCCTAACCTTAACCATGAGTGGGGAAAATGTGAAACTGACCCAAAATCAGCATCTAGCTGCAACTTCACTCTACACCAAAGTTTTGATGCTTAGTTTTTCCACTGACAGGACGGGGGCAGAAGCTGAATCCTGGCGACGCAGAGGAGGCTGCCAGCTCAGAAGATGAAGAGCTGCCAGAGGGGGAGAGAGAGCCACCCTTCCTCTTCAATGGTACTGCCCCCTCTGTTGGGAATTGGCTCTCAACCTTTGCCCTGCCCCTGATTCTCAGCCCTTCCTTTCTCGCTCCCCCCTCCCTTGCTCTGAGTCTCTGGTTTTTCTCTTTCCTCTGAACTCTGTTCTTTGCAGTACGAAACAGATGACCCCTCTCACTCTCTCTGTATCAGTTTTTACACAAATTACCATGGCTTTGAACTTGATGACCACTGCAGCCCCATTTGCAGTAGGATTTAATCTACTGTCCCTTGGGAGTCTTTTTTGAAAAAACCTTTTTGACAGCAGGTCAAGTGAACCAGTGTGTAGAAATCCATTGAACTAACCTGCCATGGTTGCGGTCATGATAGTGAGCCAACTGGGCCGGTAATGATGTTTGCTATCTCCTCTCTTATCGTGAGAAAGCTACTTTGATTGGGAAATAGCAGGTGAATGCCCCCGACTGTCCCACTTTCACCGGTTTGCACTGCAGTCATCAAAAAAACTCAGTCTCTCTGAATAGTGGAGCTCTGAGGTATACTGACAGTAATCCGTGTGTGACACTGAGTTTGTAAAGCTCATTGCCGGGGATTCCTTTTTACAGTCACAGAGGAAGCTGAAGAATATGAAGATTGTGATTAGAGAGTAGATGTTGATGAGAGGCATGTGATAGTTTATGTCTTGAAGACATTCATTCAGATTGTTAAATAGCTTTGATATTTGGCTGAAGTAATTCAACCTGTATGGCTGTTAGAATTAATAGAGATCCTGATTCTGGTGCGAGTGAGTCTGTTTCTGTATCATAAAGGCCTTAAGTAATACCTGTGGTTAAAGGCCCAGTGCAGTCAAAAACGTGATTTTCCTGTGTTTTATATATATTTCCACACTATGAGGTTGGAATAATACTGTGACAATTATGATAATACCCTTTTAGTGTAAGAGATGTTTGAAAAGACTGCCTGACATTTCACCCTGTTTTAGTGGGATGGAGCTTTGGCCTGCATGGTGGTAAATTAGTTAATGGACCAATAAGAAAGAGTTCCAAATCTCTCTGCCAATAACAGCTCATTTTCAGTTTTCCCCTCCCCACTCAGATCACTCCCAGACAATCCTAGCAAAATTCTTGCTTAGAAATTGCTCTTTGCTAAGAAGTTTTGTTACCCAGAATTGATTTGATATTGAGATAAAAACGTCTGCATTGGACCTTTTAACTCCAGCAGGTATGCCCCGGTTACCCTTCTTCCCAGAGAACCGGCTGCATGGAGGGCTGGAGCCCAGACACCACTGGCCAGACCAGGGGAACAGACTCCGGTGAGTGCCCAGCCTAAACTCAAAGTTACAGAGTCACACACAATCATTATATACTTCTTCTTACACAAAAAGCTGCTTGCTTCTCCTAAGGGGAGGCAAGCTTACATGAGAGATAAGGGGTACTTTACGTTTACATTTTAGTCATTTAGCAGACGCTCTTATCTAGAGCGACTTAGTTAGTGAGTGCATACATTTCTTTTTCATTTTTTTTCATACTGGGCCCCCGTGGGAATCAAACCCACAACCCTGGCGTTGCATGCGCCATGTTCTACCAACTGAGCTACACGGCTCCATTCCTTAAAGCATTGTACACCAGTTCTCACAGCCTACATGTCTAAGAGAGGGAAGTGATGAGTTCTTTAAAGCCTATTCAGCTGCAAGAAGATTTCAACCTTGAGCTAGGCCTCTGGTGCCCGAAGAGATAAGGAGCCAGCAACAAATCACTCCTTTGTGCGCTGTGAGAAGAGGAAAACTAGAAAGTCATGGAATAGCACTATACATTTACATTTAAGTCATTTAGCAGACGCTCTTATCCAGAGCGACTTACAACAACTCAACCATTTTACATAGCATTTAGACTGTAACAAAAAAATGTCCCCAACAAAATGTAATAGGTAACTATATAAAGTGGATTTTTTGGGTCAATGTGGAGTTCTGATCAGCACTGGAACGCCTTATTATAAACGTGCTTGTTGAACGCGTAGAAGTGTGCCAAAGGTCAACCGTAAGAGTTGACTTGATGTGTTGGCATGTAGGCTTGATAGCATGCAGCCTGAGGAAGGTCCCAGGACCAAAACGTTGCTAGTATGGACTTGCTCTGTAAATACAAGAGTTTTTCCACATTTTAGCCAGTGTGCACTTGCACATTCACCATCATGGATTTAAAGCATTGCATTGGCTTGAGGAATTTTCATACCGTTGTTAAATCCATGACGGGAAGTGTGCAGGTGTACACAAGGGGGAAGAATCGGGACGCAGCCTTGGGCCCTTTTATTTTGTTTAATCAGTTGACTTGATGTGAACATACAAACGTGTGTTTGCCTCTCCAAGGGAGGGGGTGGTAGAGGACCCAGCAGTGGAGCCAGAGGAGGCTGCAGGTCACGTGGTGCCGGGGGCAGCAGGCCAGGCTGCAGTAGAGCGCCTCCAGAGAGCCGCCCAGGACGACCACCATGCCTCCCAAGGCCACCCATCTCCCCCCAAGAGACCCTTCAGAACGCCCAGCGTCCCCTCCCTCTGCGTCATGGCCACCCTTGCCACCGTCAACCTCATGACAGGTCAGAGAACAACTTTAAAGTCCAACACTGTAATTTGCACTCAAACATTGTTAAAGGGGCCTCCCTGCTAGCCAAGACAATGACCTAGCCAAACGAAATGGTCAGAATTGTACATTGATATTGGTTGTGGTTTATTGCAGTTGTGTAAAAGTTCCTGAGCAAGATCACAGAAAGGTGTCGTGGCAGGAATGCTGCATAGAAAATGCATTTTCATCCAACGTCCTTTCTATTCTTTCTTTCCTCCTCTCTCAGCTCCCAGCATGCAGTACAGCAGCAGTCTGTCATGTCTGACCCCCGAGCTGGCCGAGCTCCTGCTCAGTCACATGTCCCGCGAGAGGCTCCTTCGCCCACGCACCCTGGAGCTCTTCTTCGGCTGCCCAATGCAGAAATTTGTCCTCAACTGCTACCCGTACTCTACCAATGAGCTGCTCCGGCAGCTGCGGGCCTTCACTGCACTGAAGCACCTGAGCCTGGTCAACTCTCCTCTCATCACAGGTACACCTTTACCTTGACAGCATTGGTACTGACTGAGTATGCGTCCCAAATAGCACCCTATTTCGTATATAGTGCACTACTTTTGACCAGAGCCATATGGCAACGCTATTGTCAGCGCCATATGAAAGTCAAGTTAAGAAATAAACAAATACCACCAATTTGGTGCCTTTTGAGAAGTGTAACTTGGTAAAAAAAGTTTTAATTCAAAGTTTTAGTTCACCTAATTTTAACATTCTGTCAAAGAGCACATGTTCAACTTAATAAAAAACATGTTTTCCCGTCTCAAGGTTAAATACAAAAATGACTATAGTGTCTATTAAAGATGCACTATGCAGAAATCGCTCCGCCATTTCCTAGATGCTAAAATTCTAATAGTTTGCCTAATTTCAGTTTGTGACAAAACAAACAAGTATAGTGTAGAGAATCATTGTACCATCTAAACCGCTGTGAAATGTATTTTCAGCTGTTTGAAGCTGGTGTACAAAACCGAAAGTAAAAGACGCAAAACAAAATGTAAGAACGGGAAGCATAGAAATAGCGAACATAGAACAGATCTACCGCTTCTTAGCCTTGCTTTCAATGAGTGACAGATCTATAACATACATTTCTATGTGAATTTGGTCAAATAAAGTAACAAGGTTGACTGTACAAGGGTTGACGATTTCATCTTAAATCAGCCATAAATCCCTGTGTGTGTGTGTGCAACAGGGAGTGGCAATTGAATGCAAGCTTCACCCCCCAAAAATGTGCTAAAAAATGTCTACCTTGTTTATCTATGGGTAACAGGGTTGACATGTTATCAAATCACATTTTATTGGTCACATACACGTGTTTAGCAGATGTTATTGTGGGTGTAGCGAAATGCTTGTGGTGTAGCGAAATGCTCGACCCGCTCAGTTTTCCACCACAAAACACCAGAAAATTCAGCTCAGGTTCTCCGCTTCATAACGCTTTATGGGTTTTGACTGACAGCCGTTATAAACTTGAGCACCGCGCGCGACAAGAAGATGCCCCCAGTCATCCCGTTAATTGGGATACTTTTTCAGTTTTTGTTGTCTGAGTGAGGGAAATGCTGTAAATCGAGAGGAATCAATTTGTTCTGAAAGATGAGAGGATTATGTTGAGGATTATAATAAATATCGCTTAGTCATACAAGCGAAGAACACACCCATGAGTCAAAATGTGTACTTTTACAGTATTAATGTTTATGATCACTGTGTTTGATCCACAGTTACAAGGATGACATGCATTATACCCTGGGTTGTCCTGAGCAGAATGAGCCTATGTTTGGCGTATTGTGAAGAAAATTAGCCGCGTAACACGCACTTGAATGCACTTATGACTCCATTCTATGCGCATCATAATTACAATCTGTTTGTCTGAAGTGCCTTTTTGAAAGCCTAACACTAAGATTGTATTTTATACCTTAGCTAGCCATGTTGGCAATCGAATAAGCTTTCAAATGAAGCCCACCTGACCCAGATTGCAATTTATAATGGAACGTGTTTGGATTGAGTAAACCACAGCAGTAATTGTGTGATGGTGGGGACACAGGGTTGTGTTCCAAACAAAACAACTACAAGTGTGCTTGCTTCAGTTCCTCAACGTGAAAGCTAGGAGAGCAACAAACAAAAAACGTATAGTTGAAGGAGCTTTCCTTGAGTCATAAAAGTGCATTGAAATGACTTGGAGACACCAGTTAGACCTCTCACTCAAACTCTTATAATAGTTTTTTCTTATATTGAATACTCCAAAATGTAAATTAATATTCTTATTATGTTACTGAATGTATCCAGTTTTTTCAGATTTCGTTATTGACAAATGCTGTGAAAAGAACAGTAAATGTAAAATGCACATCAAATCAACAATGTAGTGTTTGGATTCAGTCTTGTGTCAAGTGAACTGTTGTGTCCTCACCTTTTGGTCTGATAATTTCCCCATAATCTCCAAAGTGTTCTCTTTCAACCGCTACCATGGGCATGCATACAGTATGCTTCTAATATTCTTCTGTTAGAAACATTTTACATTTGGCCCTATCCATACAGACCAATTTCCACGAGTGTAAGGGGTTAAATGGGCTCTTAATTTAATATAAAGGGCTTTTAAAATTCAATATTGGTGCGTAAATTCTACTTAAAATATCAAAGGGACACAAAAGGCACTCTTTTTGTGGAACGACCCAGATGTAGTGGTGAGATATCACTTTTTAAGAAAACCATATGGCCTGTTATCTTTGCAGCATTGCGGCTATGATACTGAAGGTTCTCTCTCTGTGTCTTCCCGTTTTCCAGACACGGGCCTCTCTGTACTGTGCAGCCTATTGAAACTGCAGCACCTGAACCTGGCCTCGTGTAGCAAGCTAACCGACTCCTGTCTGCAGCACATCACAGGTGAGGTGCTTCGTTTACCCTGGGTTTTGTTCACTAGGCACCAAACTTAAGAAAACAGACTGAAACAGGGAGGGGCTATACCTGCACTTGTCCAGTAAGAGATTTGTATCTTTTTCAGTTGCAAAACATTTTGCTACGGTGTGCACTAATGAATACGACCCTGGCTACAGCATGGAACGCCTGTGGATGAAATTAGGTTTTTAATGCTGAATAGAGGTCAAGGGAGAAGGAAGGGGATAGCTTTGTAACGCTGGAATTATATAATAATAACCTAGTAGCCTGTAATGACCCCATGCAAGAACACTAGATCAAAGCATAAGCTGTCATTTAAAGTCAACCAAGGAAAGATGAATGCATTTGGGGAGCATAGTATGGCATGAGGGGGGTTTCAACTTAAATGATTGAATTCATAATTATGGATAAGTATCGACCATTTTTAAATTCCCAATAGTTCAACTCCTGTATAAAGTAATGAACACTTCAAAGGAGGACTTTTTATCTCACTCTACCCTTTGTGTCGCCAAGGATTGAAGAGCCTGTCTTTCCTGTCACTGGACCAGACCAAAGTAAGCGATGTAGGGATGGTGCTGTACCTGCAGTCTGCTCCTTCGTCACTCACCCAGCTCAGTCTGAACCAGACCTCGGTCACAGAGGCCACCCTGGCAGCGCTGCCCGCCTGTGTGCCACAGCTACGACTGCTCAGCGTCAAACACACCAAGGTAGCTCTCTTTCTCGCGTACACACACACACACCACACAACAGCTCTGTATTTCAACACACAAACATACGCAGACACTACCATTAAGCTTCAACAACCAACACTGGTATAAGTTGTTTCATAATATCTCCGCCTCCTCCATCAGGTGAGAGACGTGTCGGCCCTGGCGGCGCTCCCCAGCCTGCAGGCCCTCTACCTGGACGGCACGGGGGTGATGGAGGGCTCTCTAGAGTGCCTGGCCGTCCACTCCACCCTCTCTGCCCTCAGCCTGGCAGGCATCTCCGTCGCAGACGGCAACCACGCCCTCCAGATAATTTCAGGTGAGCTGCGTGCGTGTGTGTGTGTGTACTAGGATTGGTTGATTTTACGATTGCATCGTCTATCGACGATGTTTGACAGCCATCGTGATGTCACAAACGATGGTTTAGCATATTTGAACTTGACTGCTCCGTGGGAGTCTGGCAGCGCACAACAGTGCAGCGAGCATTCTTCACATTTTATTGTGTTACAAAGTGGGATTAAAATTGATGAATTGTTATTTTTTGTCAACAATCTACACAAAATACTCTGGCAAAGTGGAAAGAAAAATAAAACATTTGTAACTTAAATATAGTCATTGCATAAGTATTCAGCCCCTTTGTTTAGGCAAGCCTAAATTAGTTCAGGAGTAAAATTTGGTTTAACAAACCACATTATAAATTGATGTGATTTAAAAAAAAATATATATATATATATATGCTAACCCTTCCTCTCTCCACATACATACGTCTGTAAGGTCCCTCAGTCAAGTATTGAATTTCAAGCACAGATTTAACTACAAAGCCCAGGGATGTTTTTGAAAGCCTCATAAAGAAGGGCAGTGATTGGTAGATGGGTAACAATAACACATCAGACATTGAATATCTCTTTTAAGCATTGTCAAGTTAATAATTATACTGTGGATTATGTATTAAACCACCCAAACACATCAAAGATACAGTCATCCTTCTGAACTGAGCTGCAGGACAGGAAGGAAACGGCTCAGGTATGTTACCATAAGGCCATTGGTGATTTTAAAACAGCTACAGAGTCCAATGGCTGTGATGGGAGAAAAATGAGGCTGGATCAACAACATTGTAGTGACTCCATAATAATGACCTAAATGACAGAGCGAAAAGAAAAAACTACAAATATACAGAATCAAAATATTCCAAAACATGTATGCAACAAGGCACTAAAGTAATACTGCAAAAAAAAAACACTGCGAAGGAATACAACCTTTTGGCCTAAATGCAAAGCCTTATGTTTGGGGCAAATCCAACAACACATCACGGAGTAACTGCCTCCTTATTTTCAAGCATGGTGGTGGCTGCATCATATGGGTATGCTTGACATCGGCAAATACTGGGGAGTTTTTCAGGATAGAAAGAAACGGTATGGAGCTAAGCACAGGCAAAATCCTAGAGGAAAACCTGCTTCAGTCTGCTTTACACCAGAGACTGGGAGAGGAATTGACCTTTCAGCAGGACAATAACCTACAACACAAGGTGAAATCTACACTGGAGTTGCTTACCAAGAAGACAGTGCATGTTCCTGAGTGGCCAAGTTAGTTTTGACTTAAATCTGCTTAAGAAATCTATGGCAAGACTTGAAAATTGCTGTCTATCCATGATCCCCAACATCTTGACTGAACTTGAAGAATTTTGAAAAGAATGATGGGCAAATATTGCACAATCCAGGTGTGCAAAACTCGTACAGACTTACACAAGAAGACTCACCGCTGTTATCGATGCCAAAGGTTTTTCTAACATGTATTGACTCGGGGAGCTAAATACTTATGCAACGACTATTTTAGTTATTTAATTTGTATTCATCTTTAAAAAAGTATATTTTTCTTCCACTTTGAGTATTTTGTGTAGATTGTTGACAAAAAAATGACAATTCAATAAATGTTTATCCTACTTTGTAACACAATAAAATGTGAAGAAATCCAAGGGGTCTGAATACTTTTTCAAGGCACTGTGCAAGTGTGCAAGAGAACAATAAAGATTGTAGAAAAAGCGGAGCGCATCAAAGCAGCCCCCCCCCCCAATGTAGGATGATCATGGGCCTTTTGCAGCGGACACTGTCTGGCTTATTGTTTTAAAGTCTTCATTTCTCTTTATTTTTTTGTTGTCTTCATTTCCCTTATCCCCATTCGATTTGAATGTGACTTGTTGGCCTAGTCATAGCCTACTCTTTCATGATCAACCATCAAATAAATCTATAGGCCTAAAGGAGTTCCATCTCAGAAAGTTTTTTGCGACTAGCCTAAATAAAAACATAGTAATGAGGGAGAGAGGGAACAAACAATTGCAAAATAGACTAATCGAATAGGAAGTTTAAACAAACATGATACATTTATGCTTTACTTGTCCAAAGTGTTGGCCTAGGCAAAGTTGTACATTGTCCCGTCGGAAAATCCCTCCTTGCAAACCAAATAGGCAATAATATAGGCCTACACATAGGCTACTGTCAATAAAAGTTGCAGTAAATGTTACTTTGACAAGTTAAACTTATACATTCTTTAGATCACTTGAATGAACATGGACTTAGGCTAAAAACGAATAGTTCTATTATCCTTAGGCTGTGCCTTTTGCCTATCGAACTGTAAAAATCCTAAATATACTATCAGATAAAACAAATGTATTATTTATAACATTCTATATAACAAGGAACACCAGCATGTTCACCCCCAGAGTAGTGAACTCAGCAGGATGATGGAGGTTGACTTGGGTCAGGTCTGCTGGCTCACCTTTATCGTTCGCCCTGAAACCGAAGAACTGCCAAACAGGCGAAGACGTGCTTTTCTTTCCCACCAAATCAGCCATAGTTTTTTATTTATTTAGCTATACTATACTGAACAAAAATCTAAATGCAAAATGTAACAATTTCATTGATGTTACTGAGTTACACTTCATATGAGGAAATCAGTCAATTAAAATGCATTTAATTAGGCCCTAATCTATGGATTTCACATGACTGGGAATACAGGAATGTGTCTGTTGGTCACAGATACCTTTAAAAAATGGGCCTCACAATGGGCCTCAGGGTGTATTTTTGTGCATTCAAATGGCCATCGATAAAATGCAATTGTGTTCGTTGTCCGTAGCTTATGCCTGCCCATACCATAACCCCACCGCCACCACGGGGCACTCTATTCACAACGATGACATGAGCGAACCGCTCGCCCACACGACGCCATACATGTATGTGGTCTGCGGTTGTGAGGCCGGTTGGACGTATTTGCCAAATTCTCTAAAATGACGTTGGAGGCGGCTTATGGTAGAGAAATGAACATTAAATTCTCTGGCAACAGCTCTGGTGGACATTCCTGCAGTCAGCATGACAATTGCACACTCCCTCAACTTGAGACATCTATGTCATTGTGTAGTGTGACACAACTGCACATTTTAGAGTGGCCTTTTATTGTCCCCAGCACAAGGTGCACTTGTGTAATGATCATGCTGTTTAATCAGAGAAATGCTCACTAACAGGGATGTAAACAAATGTGTGCATAACATTTTAGCAAAATGTGCATATGGAAAATTTCTGGGATCTTTTATTTCAGCTCATGAAATATGGGACCAACACTTTACATGTTGCATTTTATATTTTGGTTAATTGTATCTATAGTTACTAAGTGAAATCCCGTCACTTCCTTATTTAATTTGTATTTTATTTTACTGTCGGAAAGTAGCCTAATGAAGAAAGAATGTTGCAAATGCACTTACCCAGATGATCAAGATGAAATGACAATAGCCTACAGTTGTAACGGCTATAATATACTGTATATTTTTTAAGGTAGGCTAATATAATTCTGCACTAGATAAATCCTAGACTAGATTTTAAAAAAATAACTAGGCCTAACACTGTTTTATTTTAAACAATGATTTAATGAGATTGTTTGTGGCTTTTGTAACAATTTAAATAAAAAAATATATTATGCACCAAATCACAGTTCTGGTATAACCAATGTGTCCTTCATATTGCGTTGTTCCCGCCAATTGACCCCTCCATGCGCAACCCAATGATGTTTGAACAGGACAATGTCAAACATCGCCCAACCCTAGTGTGTACAGCAGGAGTATTCAAATCTGCTGTTTGATTGATTTTTAATGTTATTGATTTAATGTAATTGATTGGCCAAAGTCCAATATCCTGTTTCCCCAGGTCTCTGATTAGAGGGGAAGATTGCTACAGATGTTAATGTTTTGTATGACCGGCAGTTTATAGTTAAATGGACTGTATTTTATAAAGTACACTCTCTCTCTTTCTGTCTGTCCCCCCCCAGGTCTCAGGCTGACCCAGCTGACCCTGCCTGGACGCCACTCAGTGACGGACGCTGGCCTGACCTTCCTCTCCAGACTGTCCCTGCTGTCCGAGCTGGACCTGACGGACTACACACACGTCACTGACCACGGGGTCACCCAGCTGGCCACCATGACCAGGTCGGATCACTCTCTGACTACATTTTCTGCATCCCGAATGGCAGCGTTTCCCACATTTTTGTTTTTTGCCCAAGCACTACACAGCTGATTCAAATAATCAACTCATCAACAAGCTTTGATCATTTGAATCAGCTGTGTAGTGCTAGGACAAAAAACAAAATGTGCACCCCTTGGGGTCCCCTGGACAGAGTTTGGCTAACGCTGATATAGGGATTAGGGTGCCATTTGGGATGCACCCATGATCCTTTATAGGTGTCAATATGAGGCTAGTCATTACCACAACCAGAGGCAGTAATTAATCCCCCCCAAAAGTTTAGATTAACCAGGTATGTTGGTGCTGAGATGGAAGGACTAGGATTACTGCTCTAGCTCTTTCACCAGCGTCCTCTACAGTTGCCTCTGTAACATTGCCGTGAATGAAGGAATGCTGGGTCGTATTCATTAGGAACCAAACAGGAAAACGGACTGAAACCGGGTGTGACTACCTGTCCAAGAAGAAATGCTTGTTTTAGTTTTCTGTTGCAAAAAGGTTTTGTTACGGTGAACACTAATGAATAAGATCCTGATAGAAATGTCCCCCCTCTCCTGTCTCCAGGCTGAAGAGGTTGTCTCTCAGTAACACCCAGGTGACGGACGCGGGGCTGCCCTCCCTGCGCAGTCTGCAGGAGCTGCTGGAACTGTGTCTGGACCGCACGGCCGTCACCAGCCGAGGAGTGGCCGCCCTCGTCACCTGTCTGCCGCACCTGCAGGTACGGAGCATGCATGTAAACCCATAGACAACTATTGTATCAGTCGATAGAACTCTACAAATAAGTAATAGAGCTAACAGAGCTCCGTTATAAAACTGTATTGAAACCGCATACTGTGATTGGTAGTAGTAGCATTGATGTTGTCTTTATGTTCCAGGTATTAAGCTTGGCCAGTACTCAGGTGGGCGACACGGTGGTGAGGAGAGGTCTGGTCCACTGTGCTCAGCTGTTCAAGCTCAACCTCAGCCGGACACGCATCACTGACCACGGTAAGGTCCCACTCATCATCTACAATCCCTACCATTGAATTCCAGCATGAATACTCATGAAGTAAGGGAATCTCAATTGCGACCATGGTCTCTTTTTCAACGATGCCCTGTGAATCCCAATTGAGACCAGGGTTTAGAGATGGAATACCAGCATTTAGAGCTGGAAGGAATCTGTTTACATTTACATTTACATTTTAGTCATTTAGCAGACGTTCTTATCCAGAGCGACTTTACAGTTAGTGAGTGCATACATTATTTTGTTTTTTTCATACTGGCCCACCGTGGGAAACGAACCCACAACCCTGGCGTTGCAAGCGCCATGCTCTACCAACTGAGCTACACGGGACCACATTCTTGTTGTGTCTTATGTTTCCCTCAGGACTGAAGTTCCTGAAGTGCATGAGTCTGAGCCAGGTAAATCTGGACGGCTCAGGCGTGTCCCTCACGGGCATCGCCAACCTCATCACCTCCTGTCCCCACGTCACCAGCATTCGGGCCAGCCACACGCGGGCCATCCCACCTGACCAGGTCTCGGACGACGACAATCAGTAGAGAGACTGAGAATTGAGGTGACCCTCCAGCCCTTTCTGCTAAGGCTTGGGTGCGCTAGCTAGTAGCTACCGCTGTACTCTGTGGTCTTAGCCCCAAGTGTCTACACGCTGCATCTAGCTGACTGGCTCAGCGAAGTCTGGGTGACGATAAACCCAGCCATGTCTAACTACACTGCTTCAACTGCAGCTAGTGGCACTAATCGCTCAATCACAAGTCTACTGTTGAAACCTTTAAAAGGGTGCGTTCTTGTGCTTCTAAAACGAGAGCCTCTAAAGCAGCGTTTCCCAAACTCATTCCTGGGGCCACCCTGGGTGCACGTTTTGGTTTTTGCTCTAGCACTACACAGGTAACTATGATTGGGAATAGATCTGCCCTTATTCTCTAATGAATCAGTTAACACTACGGAGGTACAGCTGTGTGATCTGCTACTAAAGAGGGCTATGATGATGATAAAGGTCCAACAGTTACCTCCAGTTCTGTAATGTCAATCAATTACATTTTTGGTGGTTTAAGCCAAGGCAGCAACTGGAAAGCTTAGCATAATGCTAGTGGTTGTAGAAAGAGGTTGGCTTCTCACAGCGAACAGTGGGCCATGATGTGTGTTGCATATTGAGTGGTTGGGTTCAACAGCAAGAATCCAAAGCGGCGACTTCGTTCATAAATACTTTTTCTTCTCATTTTGTTTACACAGATGTATAATACTGTTTATTTTCTCAATGTAAATTGTTTTGGATAACAGCACTGTATTCCCTACATTCTCAAAGGAAAATGCTAAATTAATAAAAGCTGCATTTTGAATGTGTTGTATTTATTTAAAGAACCCCACTATAAGATGGTAAATATTAAATTGTCAATTCATTCAGACTGTTTTGCCATACAACGTTCAATAAAAATAAGGCATCATTAAGGCTCTTTTACACAGGGAAAACAAGTCACTTTGAAATATAGTAAAAATGACCTAAAAGCTGCTGCATACACTTTTTCGATGTCAGCACATTGGGATGCTTCTGGTGAAATTAGCCATTTAGAGCGCAGACTGAGTTGGAGGTAGGTGGGTGATGTTGGCCTTAGAGGCTGATATTGGGTCAGTTTTGCATTTTCCCCACTAATGTTTAAGATTGGGGGAGGGCTATCATACTTTTACAGTATAGGGGAATAATATTGCCATGTGGGGTAGTACTCTGCACAGCCACAAGGTTTCATCTGGTCACATAACAATTTAACACGTTCATACATTTTTTACGTAGTTATTACACATTGATTACACTATCACTCGTATTTCATTAGTCACAACGACTCATCGATATGTATGCTATGATGCTGATAAGGTTGTCTCGCGCACCTGCCCTTCCCCAAGCGCTGGACAGTGCTGGTCATTTAAAAAAAGCTAGCTAGCTAACGTTAGCTGATGGATGCAAACAATGTTATTCCCCAAAAACATAGCAAAACGTCATAATCTGTTTCTGTAGCTATAGTTGGCTAGCTAGGTGTCATCAGCTAAAATACCCCTAATTTATAAAACTGTTCTTATTTGATTAATGGTGGTCGGACCCACCTATGTGAAGCTAGCCACAATAAGGAATAGCCACAATAGTGGAATTTGCGGTTAGCCTTCAAAGTAAATGTTTGTCATTGATAGTGATGCAAATGAATACAAATAGTGGAATTATGCCATGGATAATGATAAACGAGTTTGGATTATAATATACATTCCACAAAATAAAATAATTTGTTAATTTGACAAAAATCTGTTGAAATCACACTGGATGTATTAGACTTTAGAATTGCATTGGGGGCATATTTATTTCACTGTACAGACTTACCTATGGATTATGGATCAATGACATGGGGTATCAGTCTGCTCAGTGACACCCAGAGAAAATTAGCGTCGTAGCTCTTATTGCGGGACTCTGAAACAACTGTAAATTGAGCCACATGTAATGTACCAGTCACCCTACTATGTGTATTGAACACTATTCCAGAGGAAAAACAATACAACCTGGATGTTTTGGAGTTTGATAACTGAGGAGGACGTTGGGGAAAAAAAGCTCTTGGTAGTGAGTAGACTGACACCCCATTTAATTGATCCCCAATCCTTAGGTAAGGCTGTACAGTGCAATGTGAATGGAAATACGCACAATAGCTGACTGGGGAGGTGATTTCACACTGTCACAGTACTGCAATAAGAGCTACAACGCTAATATTTGCTTGAACTCTTCACAGTTGTGTTCTGTGGGTGTCACCCCATTTCATTGCTCCACATTCCAACCTTGTTTAACATTATCTAGTCTAAATATTGCATGATTTCATCAATTGTAACCTTCTGCGTCACTTTCAAAGCGGTCCTTTTATTTTGAAGGCAACCCGCAAATTCCACTATTGTGGCTAATCCTTATTGTGGCTATTTTCACAATACATAACCCGGTCCGGTCAAGCCTCACCAGCCAGATGAAGTTAACTGGCTGCTTATAATGTTAGCTTTGGGCAACAGGGTTAAGGAGCTGGCTAGCTAGTTATTTTCATGAACTGAAGTTAAATTTCAAGTTCAAGTCGCTACCTAGCTAATACTTACTCACATGGATTCCTAAATCATTGCTAAGAATATTGAAAATGACTGCAGTTTCTATTGGTCATTGTTTTCAGGCTAACGTTAGTTGCATTGGTGCTCGCTAGGTAACGTTACAAGCTAGCTACCCCAGAAGTTGCTAATAACATCTGTATCAAAGATATTTGCAAAAACAATTTTATCCTGATCTTATTTCAAATGCTCACACAGGTCGAACAAATAATGCATTATTACCAACGCGCTATTGTAAACACATCGTTGTTGGCGGGTGTGTGCTTGTTTGCATACTTTTTTTTGTACAGATTTGACAGTGCTACTGATCGTAGTGGTGGTGCTTGGCTTGCACATGCAAATTCATCACACACAACATTCTATAATATAATTGTGTTATTTGACGTGTATCTTTTTTTACACGCAAAGACCCAAAAGGCGTTCCATAATATCTAAGGGGCTCAATAGCCTGCCTGATGGGACCAGCCTGATCACTGCATTCTGTGGCGGGTGATTTAGAAGTAGTCAGGCGCAGGAGGGTAAATCACAGAATAAATGGGTTGTTCGCTAAGAACAGCGGTACGCAGCGTAAAACACTCCAGCGCACTGGAGAACAACAAAGTACACGGGTGAATATCCCGGCGATACAAAACAATGTAGCTCCACCGCGCTATAGTAACCTACACAATAAACAATCACACACACAGACGAGGGGCTGAGGGAATATTTATACAGGTACTGATGAGGGGATATGAACCAGGTGTGTGTAATAAACAAGACTAAACAAATGGAATGAGATGAGGAGCGGCAGTGGCTAGAAGGCCAGTGACGACGAACGCTGAAGCCTGCCCGAACAAGGAGAGGAGGCAGCTTCGGACGAAGTCGTGACACATTCACCATTCTTTTCACTTCAAGTAAAACAGAAATGACTACTAAACTGATTGACAGATGATGATAGATAATGCCACACTCACGATGCAAGCTCCTCCTCCAACCACACACAGGCATCCAGGTCCAGGTGATTGGTGGGCTCGTCCAGCAGCAACATGAAGGACTTGATGAACAGAGCTCTGGGAGATTAGAGAGGGAAAACAAAACAAGTTATTACAGACATATTACAGAGAGGGGAAAGAAAACAAGTTATTACAGACGTATTATATTATTACAATGTAACTGAAGGTAATCTGACTGGGTAATAAACGGATAACTGGGTCATCATGTCTCATCTGCAGCCAGTAATGAAACCTGACTACTATATTCCATAAATATCTCACACTGCTTCTCAATGCTCCATCTCAGTAATAAAAATTGGGTAACGATGGCAGTGTCCTCACAGTAATCAGTAGAGGGAGCCAGAATCACTGACAAAACCAACACTTTCAATCGGTTAGGGGATGTTGATAAGGCGTAGAGGCCAACTCAACATGCACTACAGTGCATTCATCATACAGCATCGCTTGCATAGCTTACCCACCTGGCCAGAGCCACGCGCATCCTCCAGCCTCTGCTGAAGTCCTCGAGTTTCTTCTGCTGCATGGCGGCGCTGAAGCCCAGGCGGTGGAGGATCCTGGAGGCCCGCACCTCCGCCTTGTCTGCATCCAGCTCCTGCAGACGCTCATAGAGCTCCATCAGCTTCTCACACTCCGCTTCGGGGTGACAGAGGGAAAAGGATATCAATTATATATCACTAGATACTGTGCAGCTCCTCTTTTCTGCAATAATACAACTAGGTTGTTTCATACGTAAAAATGTATGCACACATGACTGTACGTCGCTTTGGATAAAAGCGTCTGCTAAATGGCATATTATTATTATTATTATTTCAAGCCATGCCTTTTAACAATGAAATCTGCGATTGCAGCATCCATTTTTTTTAAACTTTTAAATTAATTATATATAGCCATTGATTCTTGAATAATATAACTTATAAATACGTCATGAGCTTAGTTCAACTGTCGTTCCCCATCAGAACCAAGCCCTCACAAAATGAATACACGCCAAACCAGTTATAATTTTTAAAGATAAAGACACAAATGCGTTAATTAGAAACAACGCGATTAATGACCATTTTAAAAGCTTCTATGAAAATCGATATATGTCAGAATTAAACAACAGTTGGACTGATCCTACAGCCTTCTTAAACCCAACAAACCTGAAGCCACTATCAGCAGACAAAAAATAATCACTAAAAAAGAGAACACACAAAAATAAATATTAGACACTGTTAAAATTTGCACGGAGAAAATCACCAGGAATGGACCGCCTTCCGATAGAATTCTATTTCACATTTTGGGAGAAAGTAGCGCCCCTATTTACACAAATGACAACACACATGTCACTCAGTGCAGCGCTTCCTAGTTACATGTATCAAACAGTTATTTCAGTTATATTAAACCAGTGAAATCTGGAGAGTCCCCTGCTGATTACAGACCCATAAGTTTAA